TTGTTGCAATGGTAATTGGGATTGTTTGGTTAGTTTCTCTTGCTGAGAATTCATTATTGATGGATAGAATAGCCATCGATTTTTGGGTGTTGATTTTGTATCCTGCTACATTGCCAAATTCATTTATGAAATCTAGTCATTTTTTGGTGGAGTCTTTAGAGTTTTCTATGTATAATATCATGCCATCTGTGAATAATGACAGTTTTACTTCCTCCTTTCCAATTTATTTCCATCTTCTTATCTAATCACTGTGGCTTGGACTTCCAATACTATCCTATATAATAAAAGCCTAATATGCAAATTGACCGGCAGAACAACCAGTCACTATGACGTGCATTGACCACCAGGGGGCAGATGATCAACGCAGGAGCTTCCCCCAGCCCACAGGCCCCAGACCAGCTAAGGCAGGTCCCAGCAGGAGCCCCCCGATTGCCCTGCTGGTCACCCTGCTGAGGGAGGCAACCAGCAATGGCGGCAGAGGGCAGGGCCAGCTGGCAAGCAGGCGGCGCCAGGCCAGCCAAGAGGGGTGCCAGCGGAAGCCCCCCTAGTCACCCCACTGGTTGCCCCACAGATTGGCCCTGATTGCTGGCCAGGCCTAGGGACCCTACCTGTGCATGAATTTCATGCACCGGGCCTCTAGTGTTGAATAAGAGTGGTGAAAGTGGGCATCCACGTTTTGTCCCTGTTTAGGGGAAATGGTTTTAGTTTTTGCCCATTGAGTATGATGTTTGTTGTAGGTTGTCATATATGGCCTTTATGTTCAGATATGTTTTCTCTATTCTTGACAGGGGGGGCAGTTGGGGGCGATTAGACTGGCAGGTGGGCAGTGGGAGCGACTAGGCCAGCATGGGAGGCAGTTAGAGGTGACCAGGGCAGCAGAGGGGGGCAGTTGGGGGTGACCACGCTGGCAGGGGGGTCAGTAAGGAGTGACCAGGCTGGGGGGGGTAGTTAGGAGTGACCAGGACAGCAGGAAGGGAGCAGTTAGGGGCGACCTGGCCAGCAGCAGGGGGCAGTTAGGGGTGATCAGGCCAGCACCCTGAGGCAGTGAGGGGTGATCAGGCCAGTGGTGGAGGGGGGGGGCAGTTAGGGGTGACCAGCCAGGCAGGCAGGTGAGTGATTAGGAGCCAGTGGTCCAGGATTGTGAGAGGGATGTCCAACTGCCAGTTTAGGCCTGGTCTCTGGGATCAGGCCTAAAACAGCAGTCGGACATCCCCTGAGCGGTCCTGGATTGAAGAGGGTGCAGGCTGGGCTGAGGGGATCCCCCCCATGCATAAATTTCATGCACTGGGCCTCTAGCATGTATATATATATATATATATATATATATATATATATATATATATATATATATATATATATATATTGATTTTAAAGAGAAAGGGAGAGGGAGGGAGAGAGATAGAAACATCAGTGATGACAGAGAACCATTGATTGCCTGCTTCTAGCATGCCCTACACTAGAGATGAAGCCTGTAACCCGGGCATGTGCCCTGACAGGAATCGAACTGACTTCCTTGTTCATAGGTTGATGCTCAACTCCTGAGTCACACTGGCTGGGCTATTTCCTCTGTTGTTATTAGCCTATTCAGGTTTTCTGATTCTTCCTGATTCAGTTTTGGGAGATTGTATTTTTCTAGGAATTTGTCCATTTCATCCACATTGTCCAGCTTGTTGGCATATAATTGTTCATAGTATCTTCTTAAAATCCTTTGTATTTCTTTGGTATCAGTTGTTACTTCTCTGCTTTTGTTTCTGATTTTATTTATTTGGGTCTTCTCTTTGTTTCTCTCTTTTTTTTCAATCCTCACCCGAGGATATTTTTCCATTGATTTTTTTTTAGAGAGAGTGGAAGAGAGAGGGAAAGACAGAGAGAAACAGCAATGTGAGAGAACACATTGATTGGTTGCTTCCTGCATGAGCCCTGACCAGGGTCCGGACTGGGGAGGAGCCTGCAACCAAGGTACGTGCCCTTGACCGGGGTCAAACCTGGGATCCTTTGGTCTGCAGTCTGATGCTCTATCCACTGAGCCAAACCAGCTAGGGCTCTTTGTTTCTTGATGAGTCTGGCTAACAGTTCATTAATCTTGTTTATCTACTTAAAGAACTAGTTTTTGGTTTCATTGATCTTTTCTATTGTTCTTTTTAGTCTCTATGTCATTTATTTCTCCTCTGATCATTATTATTTCCTTCCTTCTACTTACTCTGAGCTTTTCTTACTGGTCTCTTTCTAATTCTTTAAGTTTTAGGGCTAAATAGTTTATTATTAATTTTTCTTGTTTTTTTGAGGTAGGCCTGTAGTGCTATGAAATTCTCTCTCAGGACTGCTTTTGACTGTCCCAGAGATTTGGGGTTGTTGTGTGTTTATTTTCATTTGTTTCCAGGGAGTTTTTTAAAATTTCTTTCTGGATCTCAATGGTAATCCATTTATTGTTTAATAACATGCTACTTAGCCTCCATGTGTTTGAATGTTTTTGAGTGTTTTTTTACTGTAGTTGATTTCTAATTTTATTCCATTGTGATGTGAGAAGATGCTTGATATGATTTCAATCTTGAACTTGTAGAGACTTATTTTATGTCCTAACATGTGGTCTATCTTTGTGAATGACCCATGTGCACTTGAGAAGAAAGTATATTCTTCAGCTTTGGGGTGAAATGTTCTTTAAATGTCAAATCCATCTGATCCAGTTTGTCTTTTAGAGTCAATGTTTCCTTGGTGATTTTTTTTTGTCTGGAAGATCTATCCAGTGATGTCAGTGGGGTGTTAGATTCCCCTACTATGACTGTTTTGTTGTCAATCTCTCCCTTAAAGACCTCTATAAGTTTTTGTTTTTTTAAAAAAAATACTTAGGTTCTTCTATATTGGGTGCATGTATGTTTACCAGGGTTATATCCTCTTGTTGGATCAATCCTTTTAGTATTATGTAGTGACCTTTGTTGTCTCTTGTGATGGCCTTCATTTTTGAAGTCTATTTTGTCAGATATGAGTATTGCTACTTGTTGGGGTCCAGCCCCAGCAGGTCCAGGGGTTCCCAAAGGTGTGGACGGAGTTGGTGAAGAAGGAATGACAGACAGCATTCAGATGATCAGCATAGCCAGGTTCTCTTTTTATTCTCCTGTTACATCTGTATTTATACCATTTGATCTTATAAGCATGCCTCTGTAGTCACATCATGGTATGTTTTGGGTCCTCCCTAACCTTCTACAGTTCCTTGTTTCATGTCCATAGTTTCTTATCTGACCTTTGCCAAAAATCCCGTTTCTATCTAGTTCTGTTGATTTTAATCTTGTCTAGGTTAATCTCTGTGTTCCACTATAAGGGCTATTCCAAGGTCACTATTCTACTGCTCTACTGATAAGCTACAAGGAAGTGACTGAAGGAGATTATCCTACCCAGTAAAGGTTATGTCCTCCCAGCCTTGCTGCTTGCCTTCCCTGGGACTGCCCTGTGTCGATGGGTCTCCAGGGGTATAGGCTTTGGTGCTTTCCCTAGTGGGCAGACCCCTAGGGATGTGGGCGCAACAAGTCCCAAATTTATTGCCAACAGTCTTAGTCTAAGTTCTTCATAAGTAGTATATGGTATTTCTGTAATACCAGGGGGGTATACTGATTCATTCCCTTCCTTAGTCCTGTTAATCCCCAACATCCCCATCTGGGGAAACAACCTTTCTCGGGGAGGTGGTCCTGGTTAAAACACAGAGTGCTAAGAGGGGGATCAAACATATGCCATATACGCCAGGTCCCTTGAAACATATGCTGTGCAGATGTTTCTTCTCTGCAGCGACTGTGTCAAGCAGCAAGGATGGACCTACTTCTGGCAGCTACTCCAGCTTCCTTTTTTTGTTTCCATTTGCATGGAAAAAAATTTCCAATCCCTTCATTCTCATCCTGTGTGAGTCTTTTGTTCTGAGGTGGGTCTTTGGTAGACAACATATAATTGGGTCATGCTTTGTATCCATCTATCCTATGTCTTTTGATTGGAGCATTTAATTTCTTTACATTTGATGTTTTATTATTCTTTTTATATTTTTATTGATTTCAGGGAGGAAGCGAGAGGGAGAGAGAGATGGAAACATCAATGATGAGAGAATCATTGACTGGCTCCTCCTGCATGCCCCCTACTGGGGATTGAGCCCGCAACCCAGGCATGTGCCCTTGACCGGAATTGAATCCAGGACCTTTCAGTCCACAGGCCGACGCTCTTTCCACTGAGCCATACTGGCTAGGGCTTTTAATGTATTATTGATAGGTAATTATTTATTGCCATTTTAGTTCTGAATGCCTGATTCTCTATTTCTTCTTCTCATTACAGCAATCACTTTAGCATTTCTTGTAGTGTAGGTTTGGTGGTTGCCGCAACCTGCACAGCTAGGGTTCAGGATCTGAAGGAGGGGCCGACACACAAATGAAAATACTATACAAGAAGTATGAATCTAGAAGGCATGGGGGGCCAGTTGGAGACCTCTCTCTTAGAGAGGCACACCGAAACCTGGCCTTATCCGCTTTTTATTCGGTTTTAGATACACATCTTGCCCTCAGTAAAGCACAGCAAACAGGTAGCAGACAGACCATCTCTAAGGTCAATAAAGATCAGTAAAGATCAGTAAGGTCCAGTAAACATTTACTTTGAGGCTATTAGGTCAGGAAATTGCTTCAAGCCACCACCGCTATCTCAACAGAACAATGGTGCTCAGTGTTAGCCCTGCCAACGCCCCAGGTCCATCGGCCTTCCACATTCCTTGGTGCACTTTCATGATAGTGCCAGCAGTGGGTGGCTTCCCGTATCTCCCCCTTTTTGTTTTCTTAATAAATCTTGAAAAGTGTATGTCGTCTGTAGGGCTTGAGTTCTTTTAAGGCTCTTCATTCCACATCTGCAGACTAGAAATAAACATATAAGAACAAGAATGAGACAGACAATTGTGGTTATACTAAGAGGCAAATGTAAGGAGATCCAATGAAAAGGATTGAGGTCTTTAATGTCCTTTTAAAATTGCTGCCAGGCATCTAAGGAACTAGTTTATAGTAGGCTCCTTTCTGAGCCATCAGTTCTTTATGGGTCCCCTTCTCAATCACTGTTCCCTGTGACATGACAGCAATGATATTCGAGTTCTGGATGGTTGACAAACGGTGGGCAATGACAATGCTGGTCCGACCTTCTCTGGCTTTGTCCAGGGCAACCTGCACCGTGGCACAACTGATGACTGCTAGTGTGGCAAGGCTTCTTTACCATCCCCCAGGTCATCTCTGGATTGTTTGTCCTCTGTCTCATTCTCCTCCCATTCCTTATCTTCAGCGTGTTGCTTGGGGCTACTGCTATTTGGGGCTGGAGTAGTTGTCTGTCTACAGCTACAGGTACAGGGTGAGGCTTCAGCTGCAAGGTCCTCATTAGTCTGGTCAGTTCCTCTCTCAGATCCATGTTGAAGTTTAATGTTCCTTGTTGGAATCCACAAGGACTTGGAAGAGTTTTCTGGAAATACACAAACATATCCTTGACCAAATGTTAACAAGGGGTTGGGACCCCTCCATAAACCAGACTTGGGATCTTTGCATTTAACCAGACCATTTTCCTTTGGCTTATTCTGACACCAGTGTAATTCCATAGCTATCTTGCCATCAGCATTACAAGTGAAAAAATGTAAAGTAATTAAGGCTTGGTGTAGTCTACTTATAGGAGATTTCACCACTATTCCCCCTTTTTGTTTTTCAAGTTGGGATTTTAGCTGCAGATGTTGGCATTCTATAATCGCCTGCCCTTGGGAATTGTATGGTATTCCCGTAATGTGCTGAATTTTCCACTTTATACAAAATTGCTAGAAATGACAGCTTGTGTATGCAGGTCCATTATCAGTTTTAATAATTTTGGGAATTCCCATTGATGGCAAAAGCAGCTAGGCAATGATTAACGACCTGGTTTTGCCATTTCCCCTGTAGATGCAGTGGCCCATAGGACCTTTGAAAAAGTGTTTACAGAGACATGCAATGCCCTAAGGTGTCCAAAAGGAGTATAATGTGTTACAGCCATTTGCCAGATATGGTCCCTTATCAATCCTACAGGGTTAATTCCTGTCTTAGGCCCTTGAGGCAGATGTAACATGCAAGTGGGACATTCCTTGATAATCTGTTTTGCCTGCTGTCAAGTGATTGAGAATTGTTTAGACAACATTTTGGCAGGCTGATGTAAAAGCTGATGAGATTCTGTGGCCTGTTTAAATAAGGCAACCAATAGATCAGCATATGCATTTCCTTTTGTTAAAGGACAAGGCAGGGTGGTATGAGCCCTGATGTGAGTAATATAAAAGGGGTATTGTCTTTGCTGTACAATTTGCTGTACCTGTTTAAATAGTATAAATAGACTTTGGTCACTAAGCCATCTTAATCGAGCAGTCTCAATTCTATTTACCAGGCCAGCAGCATAGGCAGAATCAGAAATAATATTAAGAGGCTCTTGGAAATCCTGCATTGCAGTCTTGATAGCTTCTAATTCAATTCTTTGCACAGAAGTATGACTGGTCTGGATGACTCGGTCTGAATTCATTGCATGATAAGCACCATTAATGGTGTCTCATTAATAGTGAGATTTAATGCTTGAAATAATAACTTTTAGTTTACTTTGTAAATAGTACTGGAAGAGATTTTAAAATTTCTCCTTTTTATTAAGCTTAAATTTACTTTTAAACAGCACTCCTTTTGGCGAGTGCTCATTTGCATATGTATGCAAATTTTACTTTAGATGAACCATCAGTAAAAACAGTTAATGCTCAGGAATAGGTTCCTTGCCCAGTATTTTTTTGGTCTAATAATAGGAGTGTAATATAAAAATTGTAGTAATTTGTTTTTTAGTAGGTGACTACTAAGTTCCCTTGAATATCCACTTAGTCCAATTTGCCAATTGAAATCAGCCTGAAATAACTTCTAATTGCTTCCCAGTGAGGGGAAGATAGGTGCATTGGGGTTCTTCTCTTCTAAGCTGCCTGCAGCACTTTTTGAGTTGAGATATTAATTAAGCCATGAGTTCTATATATGTAACTACAGTTTTAGAGGATTGATGCCCTAGGTGGACCCACTTAATAATAGTAGGAGAGTTTTTATTTTGGAAGATGACTCCAGTGGGACAATTTGCAGTAGGTTTAATCTGTCCTGATAAAGGCAATTCAGGCTGTACCATGTTACTTGGGCTGAGGAGATTGCCTGCTCAATTCTTAGTAACTCCTTCCTAGATTCATCTGTTCATGTTCAGGGCAAGGAAAGATTAGTATCACCCCTAAGTATATTGAATAAATTTGTCATTTCTCCCATAGGGATTTTTAGATAAGGTCTTAACCAAGTAATGTCCCCTAATAATTTTTAAAAGTCATTTAAGGTCTTAAGGCAATCCTTTCATATTTCTACTTTTTAAGGCCTAACACATTGATTTTAATTACAGTTTCTAGATATTTGAAGGGGATTCCCCTCAGTATTTTTTCCCAAAGCAATCTCTAAGCCACATTTAGGGAGTTTCTTTTAAAATCTTTTACTTTCTTTTAAACAGCAACCAACTTGGTTGCCTTTCAGAAAAACAGGGAGGAGAGAGACATGCTGGTCAATGTTGCAATGCATACATCTCAAGTAAAAGTAACTTTCTTTATATTTATGGTGTCTCATTAATGGTGAGATTTAATGCTTGAAATAATAACTTTTAGTTTACTTTGTAAATAGTAAACTAGCATTCCTTTTGGCGAGTGCTCATTTGCATATGTATGCAAATTTTACTTTAGACTTTACTAGAACTAATTGCTCATAAGATATTGGCTTCTCATATAAATGAGTTTATATGAGACCTTGATTATATTATAAAAAACTAACTTATTAAGTAAAGTATGCACCTTTATTGAAAAAAGTAAAGTAAGCAAACTTATACATTTGACCTATGAAGTACAGATGCTACCCCACCCCCCAGCCAATCTGAAGAGCAGGCTGGTGGGGGTCTTAGGCATTATGTATGCTCCTGTTTTGAAATTCTGCTGCTGAATATTCTGGTTTTGCTTAAGAAGTGTTCAGCAATCTTGTCCTGCCCTCCCTTTCTGTAGTAACCATTTACTCTGTCCTTGGCAGGGGAGATAAGGGTAGTGGTCTAGCCTTTGTTTAAACTTCCCTGAGATTTTATGACCCTTTTACAACTTTTGCAAATAGTTAACTTTAGAACTTCTTTCTTTCAACATTTTTTCCCTTCTCATTACATATGCAACCTTCACAAATCTCACACTTTTAAATTAGCCTTCAAACCTTCTTTCCACGTCCTTCAAAAATGCATAACCATGCCTTAGACCTTCCAGTAAGTATTTCCACTCTAATATTCTTTCTTTCTGTCATCAACTTGTATAAAACTTCAGCAACTTGCACAGACCTTTTTCTTCTTTTTCTTTTGAAATGTATGCCCTGCCTTCTATTATTAAAACCATGCAATATTTAAACCTTAATTTTCCAATTAAAAGTAAACAGCCAGCATTTCTTAGATTGACATTTATTAACACACTTTTTTGCAATTATTCTAAAAGACATTAATTAAATTTAAACTGGTTTTAGTATTAAAAATTTGGTTGGGACCACAGAATTAATTCTTTTTTTTAAAATAAATCTTTATTGTTCAGATTATTACAGTTGTTCCTCTTTTTTCCCCCCATAGCTCCCCTCCACCCAGTTCCCACCCCACCCTCTGCCCTTACCCCCCACTGTTCTCATCCACAGGTGTACGATTTTCGTCCAGTCTCTTCCTACCACCCCCTTCCCTCCAACCCCTCCCCCCCCACCCCGAGAGTTGTCAGTCCACTCCCTTTCTATGCCCCTGATTCTATTATATTCACCAGTTTACTCTGTTCATCAGATTTTTTTATTGACTTAATTTTTAGATTCACTTGTTGATAGATACGTATTTGTTGTTCATAATTTTTATCTTTACCTTTTTCTTCTTCTTCCTCTTAAAGGATACCTTTCAGCATTTGATATAATACTGGTTTGGTGGTAATGAACTCCTTTAGCTTTTTCTTATCAGTGAAGCTCTTTACCTGACCTTCAATTCTGAATGATAGCTTTGCTGGATAAAGTAATCTTGGTTGTAGGTTCTTGGCATTCATCACTTTGAATATTTCTTGCCACTCCCTTCTGGCCTGCATAGTTTCTGTTGAGAAATCAGCTGACATTCGTATGGGTATTCCCTTGTAGGTGACTGACTGTTTTTCTCTTGCTGCTTTTAAGATTCTCTCTTTGTCTTTTGCCGTTGTTGGCATTTTAATTATGATGTGTCTTGGTGTGGTCCTCTTTGGATTCTTTTTGTTTGGGGTTCTCTGCGCTTCCTGGACTTGTAAGTCTATTTCTTTCACCAGGTAGGGGAAGTTTTCTGTCATTATTTCCTCAAATAGGTTTTCAATATCTTGCTCTCTCTTCTTCTGGCACCCCTATAATTCTGATGTTGGTGCACTTGAAGTTGTCCCAGAGGCTCCTTACACTATCTTCATATTTTTGGATTCTTTTTTCTTTTTGCTTTTCTGGTTGGGTATTTTTTGCTTCTTCGTATTTCAAATCTTTGACTTGATTCTTGTGATCCTCTTGTCTGCTGTTGGATCTCTGTATATTATTCTTTATTTCAGTCAGTGTATGCTTAATTTCTAGTTGGTCTTTTTTCATATCCTTCAGGGTCTCACTAAATTTATCGGCAGTTTCTAGAAAATTCTTGAAAAACCTTATAAGTGTGGTTTTGAACTCTATATCCAGTCGTTTGCTTTCCTCCATTTCTGTCATTTGTGACCTGTTTCTTTGTCTCCGCATTTTTTATGCTTCCCTGTGTTGGTAGAGTGGCTTTGTGTGCTAGATGTCCTATAGGGCCCATTGGCTCAGCCTCTCCAATTACCTGAGGTGGACACTCTTGGTGCACCCCCTTGTGGGCTTTGTGCATAGTCTTGTTGTAGATAAGCCTTGATTGTTGTAGGTATCACTGGGAGGAATTGGCCTCCAGGCCAATTGGCTGTGAGAATCAGCTGTGTCTACGGTGGGAGAACTTCTGTGCTGAGAACACCCTTCTGGGGCAAGACTTGCTTCAGTGGGGCTTTGGTGCTCACTGAGTCTGCCCCCTGCATGTGTCCTTTATGGATCTGAGGAGTTGTAATCTGGATGGTCCCACTCTGACCACTGGATACACGGGCTCTTGAATCTCCAAGGAGGTGCTAATTTAGCCTCTGCCTGAGGCTGCCCAGCAGGAGCTATGGAGAGCTCTGCAGATTCCTCTTCCTTGTTTGGGTTTTGGAGGTGCTCAGATGAGGCCCAGCTGTGAAGCAATGCAAGCTGCTGTGGGGCCTTGGGCCTTCACTTGGAAGTTCTGGGTCTGTCTGGCCCAGCTGAGTTTGTTAGGTAATTTTCAGATTGCAAAGGGCCAGGGCATTCATATGCAAAAGCATCTTTGCAGCTTGGGTGGGCGGGGTCTCAGGGGATCAACAGGGCAGAGCAAGCAGCTAT